TTTAACCTGAAGGCTCATCATGCTATGGTCTTACTTGAGTTGTGGGAAATGTGTCACTTTTTGACACATTGAGAAATGTCCTCGTGCGTTTTACAACTGCTAAAACGTCCTCATTTTCTGAGCAAAAAAGAAGCTACAGCACTGCAGTGTGGTGGTTTGACAAGAAGCGGCGTTGAGCCACGGATACATGGAAGCGGGCATCTTTAAACGCTATATAACCTCAGGTGATGTCACTCTGCTGTTTACCTCTTGAACAGTGGTTAAAATGCAAATTTCTTGTGTTAAAAGAACCTGTCTAATACTATAAAATTAAGAAAAACTCCAATCAACACAGAGCCACGAGGCAGGTCTTTTGTGTCAGCATACTGTCGAAATGAAATGAAAACCAAAGGCATTTTCAGACCAGAGCTCTACAGATGCCCAGTGCCCACTGGGGAGCTCGCCTGAGAACTACGTTTACCTTCAGGGCTTTTTCCTGTTTGCGTTTGCACCACCAGAGTGCACACTGATATGATGTAACGTCCAGCTGCATGCCAAAATTCCTGATATATTCACTGTCAAAACTCTGAACCTCATGGTACTTTCTTCTCTCACATATAACTTTAATAGAGCCTGGATTTTGCTATCAGCCCATTTTCTCTCTATTTTGTTCCATTTTTAGAGTTAACAGTTCTGCTCTGAGACCAATCACCGTACATTCACATCACTCAAAGGCTGCTCTTGTGCTGGAGAGTACATACCCTGCAGCGGAAACTCCAGTCCACAAAAAATCTTCTATAAACTTTGAGAGTTCCTGCTTCATGTGGTGCAGACGCACAGAAAAAAGTCAGTTCTTTGACTCCAAGAGTTCTAAGAACTATGAAATGAACTCTGGTCTGAAAGCACCTTAAGTTAAGCGCTTTTATTTAAGGAACATTTCTGCTGTGTCCATCTTGTCACTGGCATTCGGCAGTCACATAGCTGTATGTATTCATGATTTCAGATAAAGGAAGAGAGGACTCACCATCGGGGTCTTGTACTTGTGGATCACCACTTCTTTAGTTTCAGGAACTACGCCGGTGCAAGAGACAAAACAGAGAATTCAAAGGCAGCAGAAACCTCAATGAGTTCATATTTGAGAGCTTTTGGGAGGGGGCGGGGGGTTGGTTATAGGGTTGGACTTTCAACAGGGTGTAAAATGAGATGTGGGCCAAGAAAAGTTCACCATAAAGGTCAATTAAAGATCAGATTGAGGGGCAGAAGAGGCTGTCTACTTTTAGCTTAGATAAAATTCAATTGTGAAATCCTGCTCATGTTGTGTTTCCTCATTGTGACTAATGAACTGATCAAATGTTCTCTTTGTCTTCAAATAAGAAAGCTAAATGTTCAATTTGAGCTTGGGTTAGTTGGTGAGACATTCGTGGCCCACATGATGAACAAATACGAGTACAAATGTCATAACAAGAGAGTTTGCGACCAAGAAGGCCGCAAAGTTAATATATGAAAAAACAAACAATAAAAAGGACGACCTCCCCAAGCCCTTCAAGCCAGTGAACTCAAAGTTAAACATCACAGAAGAGTCGATACAAGAGGCCAAAATCCTTCGACCCGGGACCACGTCGCTGTCCACGGGACAGGCTGACTTTTCATTAGTAACTGAACCCATAGCAGAGATGGAAAGGCTGAGATCTGGACAGGTGAAAGGGCTGAGAAATCCTCAACCCCCACAAACTAACTGTCCCACCTAAGATCTCCGCTTGCTGAGATACAGATGGTCAGAGAGTGATGACCACGTGAGTGATGGAGTCTGGGGTGATCTCCGAAATGAATCAGAAGCAAGTGATGGAAGAAGCAGAGGAAAAATTAGCGGTACAGAAAAAGGGGAAAGAGAGGAAGGGGGGGAAGAAAAAAAAAATCTATGAAAAGGACGGAGTGAGGAAATATTCTGCACAGGTTTAGTTTCAATAAGAAAGGAGAAAGGTGACGACACTTTACCTGCTGGAGAATGAAGGTTTTCATAGTGGCAAAGATGAGGGCAACATTACAAAAGCAGCACAGAGACACAACAGTAACCCAGCCAGGCGCTCGACGTCTGAGCAAGTTTAAGAGTTACAGCTACTGCTCACCGTTCAGTCAGACATTTGCATTTTCCATGAAACTTAACAGGAACCCACTAACTGTGTGACGCATCTCCGGTCGGACAGAATCCTCATACTTGAGCTGTACTTTCAGCTGCTCCCTGAAGTAGGGGGTCGCACAGCGGATGGATCAGCGTGACTGATTTGGCACAGATTTTAGACCAGATGCCCTTCGTGACGCAACCCTCCCATTCATCTGGCACTACGAGTACACTAGCTTGTGACCCCCTGAGGCTGGGTCTGTGTCTCCTCCATAGGCAAACGTGTTAGCCACTACACCATCCCACTAATGAGACTAAATGTCCTCCTCTTCATGTATCAGGCACGATGCAGTATCGACCGCTTTTAAAGACATTCAGACTCTGCTGCTCTCTTCCCTCAGGCTGACTCAACATGGAACAGTTTAAACCAGGCCAAAAAAAATTTATGGTTTAAGATCTGAAAAAGGTTAAAGTCTTATTGAAAAGGTGGCCGCTCGAATTCTAGTAACAACTTATCTAACTCAGGGCTAGAACACATCACTGCTGTCATGGAGGACAGGCTGCCATTTAGCTACGAGCGGACTAGTGTTACTTGAGAGATTTAGATCTATTTATAGCTTTTGTTAACAAATGAAAACCATAATATGAGCAAAATTAATGCTTACCTATTTCCAAGCATTATAAGCTTTGATTATGTCGTTTCTGGAAAATCAGTTAATATGATGCTTTCATTATTAATATTTGTATGGCACCTTTAAAGGGGACCTTGTCCTTATTTTCTGCTGAGTTTGTGTGTGTCTATATGTTAATACTACAGCGGTGGATTCTCATTTGAAAAATGTGCAATATTTTAAATATATAGAACCAAAATCAGAGCATTCAGACTAGTTTGAGAGCAAATATCTTTATACTGTGAGCAGAGCCACTCTACTGCCACGCTGTCCAAACCTGCTGTTTGTGGGTAGCAGCGAATCACAGAAAGCTGGCTTAAAGTTAAATAGGAAGTGTGCTAAAATGAGACTAAACTGCTTGCACCATAATCTAGTATAAGATCAATGAGAATTACTAAATGTTTGAAAGCTGCTCTATTAGACTCCAACATAAAAATTGAATTGGAAACAAGCAGAACAGGTCCCCTTTAAGTCACACATCTACACAAACTGGCATAGCTATTTATGATACACGTTTCAGCCTTCCTTCTCTACACTGCGCACAGCATTTCTCACAAATGCTGACTTTTTATTACCTTGCTCTAAATCTTAACACTTGCATATGACTAAGCGCAAACCACACCCTCGAAATAATGCATGACTCACTTAATCGCCTGCAGACGTCAGTGTCTCAATGCTCCAGAGGAGAGCGGCTATCCAATTTAGTGAACCCTTATTAGCTTTCATCAATACATTTGCCATGAAGCTGAGTTACTGCCGTGCCGAGTACAGGCCTAGAATCAATAGATGGTGTAATTACCAAATTCCTCCAGGACAAAGACTCCCTTCACTGTATTGCACTTTTTAATGTGACTCAGCTCTATGAAAACCTAAAAACAAACAAAAAACAAAACAAAACAAGACAGAACATTATTAACTCAACAACACTGGATGGTGAACACGTCATATTTAAAGAATTAGCCATGTTTAAACTTGTTTTATTCAGTGTGAAAAGTCAAAATAAAAGGCTACACATGGAATGCAAGCTTTGAACGGCTAAGAAAGGAAAAGAAAAAGCACACTATGAGAAATTTTCCATGATCAAACGCATACATGGGCAATGAGGAGAAGCTCAACGCTGATTCAACGTGGCTCATCAATGAAATGAATCAGAACTGGGACAGTTTTGTCATGTTTGGTGTAAACAGCATAGATACTTTTTAAAAAAATGTTTTCTTTATGCTCAAAGATGCAATATGGCCCATATGATGCATACATGGAAGTTCCATAGAAAATGTAGACAAGGACACAAAATTAGAGTTGCCATACAGCTACAACAGGAAAGAAAAGAGGTAGAGAAAACAAAAGGAACCGAATAAGATGTAACTGCTAATAAGCAAACACAGCAGAGGTTGTGTACCTTCCGCTCCTTGCAGGGGGAGAGAGCATGGGAGAGAAATGGTTTGGATTATTATCGGACAGAAGAGCACAAACACTCGACGACACTCTGAGAGGGCACTGTCCACAGGAGCCTCGTACAGATTCAAATCAAAAATCCAGCTAAGTGGTTACAAGAGCCAATATGATTTGAAGAAAAAAAAAAATCCATCACCAGAGGACTCAGCCCCCAAAAAACTACTAGGAAATAGGAAAGAAAAAAAAGAAGACGACAAAAAAAGAAAAGAAAAGAAAAAAAAGAGAAGACTAGAGGTTTGACTAGGGTATTAAGAACTGGATTCACCTCTGTTTTCCTGGACTTTAAACATCTCAGTTCCCCCCCAGAGCCCTCCATGCCTCCTCCTCCAGCAACAAGGGCTGGCACCAACGCCACTTGCTCACACAGCAGAACAAATAAATGAGGGTAGTTACTGATGGACAATAAATCCCACTATGTGCAGGATGCCTCCTCTGATACATCTCACTGCAGAGGGACCCAACAAGGCGGACGCTCACTACACTGCTTAGTTTTCAGTTAGACTTCTTGACCCCAACATGATCTATGAGGACGTTTATTGAGCTGATGCAAATACTGTGCATGGAAATTTTTAATTAATCATGTTGTATTTGGGATTAGTAATAGTGGTCTGTTGAAATATGACAGAGCTACTGGAATTATATACTACTAGTTTGATATTATTAGTCACATTAAGTGGAAAAAAAAACTATGAAAATAGACATGATTGTTGGTTTTGACAATGGACTGTATTTAAAAGATGGAAGAAGCCTTTAGGCTTTAAAATACCACGATGGTCACTTTGATTTCCTGGCATTTCAAAAATCATGTGGCTCTGTCTAAAAACAAAAACAAAAAAACTTCAAAACTATCATCTGATATTCCACAAGTTTTCCAAAGAGTTACTCAGCATATAGGGATTTTTTCCACAATGTACTGAATCATATGAGGGGAGTATATATATATATATATATATATATATATTAAAAACTACCACTTATACCTAGAATCTGAGTAATTTTGAACCCCACAGCTCAATATTAGCACACCTGGCTGTGTAGCAAAACAAAGTTTACACA